GCCGCTACCTGCAGCGTCACCTCCTCGGGTCTCCAGTGCGGGCGCAGGCGGCGCAGCAGGCGCAGGGCGCCCGGGCGGCAGCCGGGCCCCTCCTGCTCACGCACCGTGATGTCCAGCTTGGGCACCTCGGGGGCGCCGGGCGGGACGTGGATGTAGTTAGCCATGGCAGCTGCGGCGGTGAAAGCTGGCAGCAGCGGGCGAGCGGCTGGAAGTGAAGGGGGCGGGGAGGAAATTTCCAGTTCTGCGGCGGCTCCGGCTCCGGCTCCGCCTCCCGCGGGGCAGGCTGGGATGGCGGTCCCGCCCCCGCGCACCTGCCCGCGGCCCCCCGCCCCCACGTGGCCTGGCGTGTCCTTCGGGGCTGGCCCCGCCTCGTGCCCCTTGTTCTCCTCGGCGGTAGCCCTGCTTTGTTGCCCTTGAGGCGGTGTGGGCCCTGGCTCACCCACGGCTACAGACGCCTCTCAGGGGTCCTGTGACAAAGCAGCACCGCAGGTTGTGGGGCGAAAGAGGGACCCGGGCTGGACGGAGGGGAGTGCGCAAGGGGGCGCTGCCAGGTGAATTCTATCTCTGTCCGGAGATGGAAATGGGCCCGCAACGCCTAAGCCATAGTGTCTTTCCCAGTCAGGCCCATCTGATGTGCCGAAAGATTGCAGCTTAGGCCCATCACAAAATGCTGTAAGTCTCCCTTAATTAGGAATGCCAGCGGGGGACGCCAGTTAATTCTGGGAACAGAGCAGGAAGGGGAGTGAGATCATAGGTTAATACCAGATTCGGAAGGGGATGCAGAGCAGAGCACGCTGGCCTGTACCCATAGTCTCCCAAATGAGTTGGGGGAGCTTGTGGATGCCAACTTGTGAAACACTGCCACAAGGCATGAGCAGAGGAGTGAAGAAGTCAGCCCCACGCTCACCCAGGTTCCTCTTGGCCAGAGCCTCCTTCCTGGTTTTGTAGATGGCCAGCTTGGCCAGAGCGGGAGGAGGTCAACAGGAGGTCTGGGAACTTGGTGGGGCCACAGACAGGGAGTGCATAAACAAAAAAGTGTGTGAAGTAGCGCAGCCGGGGTCTCAGCAGGAGGTTCTAGAGGAAGTAGAATTTCATAGATTTCATAGACCTTAGGGCTGGAAGAGACCTCATAAGATCATTGGGTCCAATCCCCCTGCCCAAGGGGCAGGAAGTCAGCTAGGGTCAAAGGATCCCAGCAAGATAAATGTCCAAATGTTTTTTGAAAG